ACATTTGTTAAGTAGGAGTGAAGTTCATTTTTGAGTACTTAAAATACTTCAGAAACTCTCTTAGAAATGTATAAATTTTTAATTTTTTTTTTTTTTTTGAGACGGTCTCATTCTGTCACCCAGGATGGAGTGCAGTGGCACTATCTCCGCTCACTGCAACCTCCACCTCGTAGGTTTAAGCAATTCTCCTACCTCAGCCTCTCAAGTAGTTGGGACTACATGCACGTGCCACCGTGTCTGGCTAATTTTTTGTATTCTTAGTAGAGACTGGGTTTCAGCGTGTTGGCCAGGATGATTTCGATCTGTTGACCCTCCCAAAGTGCTGGGATTACAGGTGTGAGTCACCGCACCCAGCCAAGTAATTTGTTTTGTGATGGTGGTTTGGTTTTTTTTTTTTTTTTTTGGCTGGGGGACAGAGTCTTGCTCTTGACCAGGCTGGAGTGCAGTGGCAAAGTCTTGGCTCACTGCAACCTCCACCTCCTGGGCTCAGGTGATTCTCCTACCTCAGCCTCCCGAGTAGCTGAGACTACAGGCAGGCGCCACTACACCTGGCTAATTTTTTTTGTATTTTTAGTAGAGGCAGGGTTTCACCATATTGGCCAGGCAGGTCTCAAACTCCTGACTTCAAGTGATACACCCACCTCAGCCTCCCAAAGTGCTAGGATTACAGGTGTGGGCCACCATACCCAGTCTAGAGGTGTTAAAGTAATTTGAAGCCAAGTTAGTTAACCAAAAATATTCAGCCAGTGCCTTCTTCCATATTGGATTACAAAAGAACACTGAATGAAAATTTATTCTATGTAAAAATACGCTCATTAATTCTACATGAAGTAGTTACTTGTATTAACAACATACTGGCAATATCACAATCTGTAAATTGATAAAGTGGAAGAAAACTTGTCAAATTTAGTAATATTTTATAAATTTGCAAATTGTGACAATATTGACAATTTATATAATATGCATTAATTTAAGAATGTAATGTATTGGTCAGGCACAGTGGCTCACATCTGTAATTCCAGCACTTTGGGAGGCCGTGGCAGCCAGATCACTTGAGACCAGGAGTTCAAGACCAGGCTGGCCAACATGGCAAAACCTCGTCTCTACTAAAATTACAAAAATTAGCTGTGTGTGGCATCTCATGCCTGTAAGTGTGTGGTGTCTCACGCCCGACCCCTAACATATTTTTAATATCCAGCTTCAGTCTATCTTGTCATGTGATAATATAAGAGAAAAACAAATGTTCCTTTTCAGCTAATTTTCCACTGACTAGATCTGACCCTTCTCTTTATACTTATCACAACTCATTTCAACATATCATTTAATATTACATAATGTCTCTGTTTTACAGTTTATGTAGATCATATATTACAATGGCTATTTTCCAACCATAATCTTATTAATAATTGTTCCCCAAATGATGCTTTAGGATGAGATTTCTTCTCTCTTTTTTTTTTTTTTTTTT